GTAAAGTCAATGATTTTGGTCTTCTCGCCGCAGCCTCTTGGGGCGTATTGGGTGCCTCTTGAGGAGCCTCTTGGGGCCTCTTGACGCCTCTTTGGGGCATCTTGGAGACATCTTGAGGGCATTTTCGGGACCTCGGGGGCCTCCTGGGCACCTCCTGCGGCCCTCTTGCGGTACCCTTGGGGGCCTCGGGGGCCATTTAGGAGGAGATCGGTCAGAGGAGGGGGGCTTCTCAATTAGGGCCACCTTCAGGAGGCCTAAACGTGGTCACCACCTTAGGATAACACATGTTGTTGGCTTTCTCGCCGAGGCCTCTTGGGGCGTCTTGGGGGTCTCTTGGCAGTCCTGTGGGCCTCTTGGGGCGTCTTGGGGGTCTCTTGGCAGTCCTGTGGGCCTCTCTGGGCGTCTTGGGTGCATTTGGAGGGGCCTCTTGGGGCCTCTTGTCGGTCTCTTGGGAGCCTCTCTGGGGCATGTCGGGTGCCTCTTGGGGGCCTCTTGGGGCCTCCTGGGCACCTCTTGGGGCCGTCTTGGGGCACCTTCGGGAGCCTCGGGGGCCATCTTGGGGCCATCTTGAAGGAGATCGATCAAAGAAGCGGGACGTCCCACTTAGCGTTGCCCCCCAGGAGGCCAAAACGTGGCCAACACCTCAGGTAAATCAATGATGTTGGCTTTCTCGTCGAGGCCAAAACAGGCCCTCTGACACCTCGCGGCTCCCCCCCGTCCAGGCAGGGGGAGGGGGTAGGAGGAGGGGTCAAGACACCCTCCCGGCCCGAAAGCCGTCTCGCTCATTCCCATCCGCCCTCCCAACACAGAAGTAGCACCCGAGCCGCAGCGTGTTCAGCGGTAGTCCTTGGATGGACAGCTCATGGGAACCCAAACAGACCCCATGTGCGCAACGCGGGGGCGAGGTGCGCCATGTGTGCCAGGCGCGCCAGGCGCGCCAGGTGCGCCAGGCACCCCTGTGGCCTAAGCGTGCCGGGGCGCCAGGTGCGCCAGATGCGCCACGTGATCCACGTGCGCCATTTGTGCCGCATGTCCCAGCCACACCAGGTGCGCCACGTTCGGGGCACGCGCGGAGCGTGCCAGGTGCGCTGGCGCACTTGGCAGTACACATGGGGAAACGTGTCGGCCCCCACCAACCTTGTCGAAAACCAGAGCGCAATCGCGGCGGGGTGGTCATCATAGCGTTTGGTTGGCCTGCACATAGCAGGCAATATGCCTGCGCCCCCGCCGTCCCAGTCAAAAACCCATGCGAAGTGATCGCGGGGTGCCGCGCATGATCCATTTTGGATTTTTTCTTGAAATGTATGTCGTCTTGTTTTTTTGACAGGGGTGACGGCCCTGCGTGCAGCAGGCAATATGTGGGCACCCCCGCCGTCCATATCAAACACAAAGTGCTCGCGCCCCTCCCGATCATGACCCAAGATTTTGTCATAACGTGGACTTCGCAGTGTTTTTTGACGGATGGTGGGGGTGTGGTCTCATTGGTCCTGGTTGGCTGCGGGTCGCCTTTTGGGAGGCGGTGCTTATTGACAGGGAACAGTGGAACACCCATATGCGAAGGGGAAGAGGCAAGACGGAAGAGGAACCTCTCTAAACCACTCAGGCCCTAAATGATTGGTGGGATTCGGTTTTGCTCGCATTGACGGCCACGATGTCAGACGGTGCGACTCTTCCTTTTGTGCTGCCGTGGCCGCAAGCTGTCGTCCCCATCAGGAATTCACACCCTTCAGCTGGTAATGATCTGTGGAATGCAATTCGTGAAGTCGAGGCTGCAACGCCAGTGCGGTTTGTGAACTGGACAGGTGAACTCGATTTTGTTGATGTCGTGATGGGTGATGGCGATGTCGTGCGGAATAGCGGATGGGTACACAACACTTCAGACGTGATCGGTTTTTGCAGAGGCCGCTCCGAGCTCAGCTTGAAGAACACCTCTGGATGGCTTGCGATGCATGAGCTGGGCCATGTTCTGGGGCTCGTGCACGAGCACCAGCGTGCAGACAGAGACCAGTATGTCGAAGTTCTGTGGGGCAACATTTCCGATCCAGAACCGCACGATGTCAACTGGGTGAAGATCAGCCATTCAGATTTGCAGGGCTTGTCGTATGACCCGAATTCTGTTATGCATTATGGAAGTGACTGGCAGGGCAAGGAGGATGGTCTTCGGACGCTGAGCTGGCTTAGCAATCCAGCTGCAGCGGGGAGCTGCATCCACTATGACTGCGCCCCAGTGGTGGGGTGGAGCCACCTTACGGCCAATGACATCAAGGCGATCAGCGCAATTCACAGCAACGAGGCGACTAGACGCGATAATGGTGATGCTCATTTCGTTTAGAGCACGCGCGCGTTGGATTGTTGTGCTAACGCTGGTCTCACCAGCAGGTTAGGCACGATGTTTCACAAATGATGCCAGAGAAAGGCGATGGCTGTTTCGCTGGGCACCTCACAGGTCACCCCTTCTAGATGCCGATCTCTCCCACTGAGAGCTCTCGTCGCAGAGACTCGAGTCATTTGCCCCGTATCGTTTGATCTCTACTCGTCGCGGCTGTATCCGGTTTCGTTGCCTCTGAGAAACACCTCGCTGGCATTCTTCGGGGCCTCTTGAGGGCCTCATTTGGGTCTGTCGACTGCCTCTTCTAATCTATAGATTGCTACAGATCTCGGGGTCGTCTTGGAAGGTCTTGGGTCGATGGTGGAGGCTCCTGTGGCTGTCCTGGTTTGGGGCTGTCTGGGGGAGACTTGATGCCGTGGACCGTCTTGGGGCTGTTCTGAGGCGGTCCTGGGCTGTCAAGCGGCCGTCCTTGAGGGTCTTCAGCCGTTTTGATGCCGTCTGGGCCTCTGGGACCGCTGGTTCCCGCCGTGCGGGGCGGCCGGAAGGCCGTCTGGGGACCCACCGCACGCAGTTTGAGGTCTGGCGAATCGGCGAGGCGAAAGCCGAGTCGCACAGCATCGGCTTTTTCTTCTTGCCTTGGGCCTCCCAGGGGCATCCTCGAGTGCTCCAGTGGGCCCACTGGGCTTTCTCGGGCGTGTCGGGGTGCCGTCCGAGGTCGTTGAGCGGTCTCAGAGGAGGCGTGGCGCCCAGCGGAGGCTCTGGGGCTTTCTCGGGGGGGGGGGGGCTTTTGGCCGTTTGTGGAGGGCAATGGGGCGGCCGCAGAGCCAGCTTGTCGCGTGGAGGGCGCGCCTGCTGAAGGAAGCGGCGCCGTCCTTGGCTCAGCCAGGGGTCCGCCCTGGAGCCCTGGCAAAGCCGCTCGCGGGCGGTTCGGCCGTCTGCGCACCGTGTAGCACACAGAGAGCACGATGTCACGACCCCTTCAGCGGTCGGGCCCCGCATGGCATCCTTCTGATATCAGGGGGAGGGGATTGAAGAGCGAAGACGATGAGAGAAGTGGGGAGGGGCCACGCAGAGAAAGGATGGCGAGGGAGAACACGAGAAGCACGAACTTAGGAGGAGTAGGAGGAGGAGGAGGAGGAGGAGGAGGAGGAGGAGGAGGAGGAGGAGGAGGAGGAGGAGGAGGAGGAGGAGGAGGAGGAGGAGGGGGGGAGGAGCTATGATAATGGTGAGCAAGCAACAAGAAGAAGGTGTACGAGTAGAAAACCGAGGCGTCGGCTTTTCTGAATCGGGAGGTGCGCGGGGCAGAGCGGGGCTGGATCCCGCGCGTGGTTCTGGTTCCCGCCAGGCCTGGTTCGGGCGGAATTGGGGGCGGGGGCGCTGGGATGGGCGCGAGATGTTCAGCAGCACATGCTGGCCGTTGCCGAATGGAGAGTTTGGAAGTTTCACGCCGCATTAACGCGGCGGCGACCCCAGCGCGGGCGTTCAAGGTTGAACGCCACCACTGGCTTGGAATCAGCAGATGTCCAACGATCAGTGGTATCGAAAAGCAGCCGCTCAGGGCTGAACGATCCGCGTGGTGTCACAGATCAACGCCGACATTGTCGCGGCGTTAACCTGCCTTAAAGAGGGGGCGACAAATGGGCTTGGTGATCCAGTGGCTGCCCCGATGAGTCATCGAGCTCATTCCCCTCAAGTCTGCAGGGACGGCCAACCCTGCGTGGTGGGCGGCGCATCTCCCAGACGCCCAGAGGTTGTTCATGTCAGTGCTTGCCCGTCCCCTGACTCGCTCGTGCCATGCTGCCCTTGGGAAATCAGTGTTTCCTGTCAGATGGCACCCATTCCTTCGTTCATTCCTGAATGCTTTGGGTCAGAAGATGCCGCCATGGGGGTTGAAGGGGAGGTTACGGTCGCTGGAGGTTGCCCAGACGCTTCCCACCTGAACGCCGGCGAGGACGGCATATTGCCTTTGATGATTCTCTCGCTGGCTCTTCGTGATAGTGGGCAATGAAAGGTTTGATTGTGCTTGGAGGCTTGCGCTAGGCTCTGCCGGAGCTGACCGTTCCGCAGGTGGGAGGAGGCGGAAGATGTGGGAGTGAGGGAGAATGAAACAGAGTTGGAGAAATTGGAGACGCGGGATGCGGGGAGGTCCAGGACGATAAGGATGAGGGCCGGTTAAGCGGGGACAAGGAGGATGACGGGGAGGATGACGAGGATAATGAGTGAGTTGTCAGGGGAGGAGGATAGGAGGAGGAGGAGGAGGTGGAGGAGGAGGAGGCGGAGGAGGAGGCGGAGGAGGAGGAGGATGGCCTGGTGCGGTACGCCAGACAAGCAATCGTCTGTACAATTGGAAGGTAGCCGTTTCTTGACAGTCTTTCATGATTTTTTTTTGCAGCGGGCAAGGCAGAGTGCGAGGCATTCTGGTGTGGTATGGCGTTGGCTGGCATTTCCTATCCAAGTGAGTGAGTCATTGCTGCACGCAGGCGGCACGAGCAATAGCCAGATCGCTGTGCAGAGCAGAACCGTGACAGCACGGGCTCAGCGAAATTGTAGCAGGACGCTGTTTGACCTTTGCACCTCTTCTCTTTTCTTGCATGCAGTTGCTCGGGTTGCCCGTGCCGTGATCCCGCGACTTTCCTCCAATTCATGATGATTCTTGGAGGCCCTCTTCTTCATGGCCCTGGGGTCGGCGCTGACGCTCGTGTCGTTTGCCCTTTACTGCTGCTGCGCGTGCACGGTGCGGCGACTTTGCTGCCACCACAAGGCTGGCGCAGCATGGGGGCAGCATCCGCAGGGGAAGGGGGGGACAGGATGTGGGGAATACGCTCGCTCGTCATGCGGCTTTCAGCAGGTTGTCAGACGATGTTGTTACCGACGTCGATCGGAAGGACGCAATCAGCGTCCCCGGCCGCACGACGCTGACGCTCCGGCCGGCCAGTTCGAAGGCCCAGTGACCCTGGAATCTCTGGAACCGTCTGAGGCCGGCCTGAGCCATACGTCTTCCCCCTCTTGTTTCTTTGTCGCTGCCACTACGCTGGCGTCCTCCGAAGGAGGGTCCACCCTCGAGCTGTCCCTGTCGCTGCGTGATCTCTTCCCTCGTTCACCGCAAGACCGCCGGGCGCGACGGGGGCTCGGCCCCGCCCTCCGAGGCCCGCCGCGGACCTCCTCGGGAGCCCCGGGGGAGCTCCCAGGCCTGTCCTCGCCGCGGGGCCCTGCGTCCCCGACTCCTCCTCCGATGGCCCTGGGGCCGGGAGGGAGGAGGGAGGAGGGAGGAGGGAGGAGGGGAGGAGGGGAGGAGGGGAAGAGGGAGGAGGGGAGGAGGGGGCGAGGGAGGAGGGGGCGAGGGAGGTGGGAGGAGGGAGGAGGGGGCGAGGGAGGTGGGAGGAGGGAGGAGGGAGGAGGAAGGAGGTACAGTCTCGGAAACTGGAACAATACATTACCAGGGGCAGACTGTTTTTCAATCCCAGGACTTTGTTAGGGTCGGGGTCGACGTTGGGGATCCGCTTTCCTGGACAACTTTTAGTGCAGGACCGGAAAATGCGTCGGTGTATAGAATTCGGTTGAATCCTACAGTCAACCCGTATAATAAGGACGCGTGCTAGGGATGCAAGGGCCTTGGAAGGCCATGCCGACACTTGGCGAGCGGGGCGCAGCCAGCGAAAGCGGCCAAGGGTGAGCCGACGGGGAAGGGTGACAGGGGAACCTTGGAAAGCTGCGCATCCTTGCTGTGCGGGCTGACTGCACCCACTTGACTTAGGTCGGGCATGTCCTCCTGCAGGCGGATTTTGGACGACTACTTAAAGCATGCCAGCAAAGAACATTCAAAACTAGGCAAAAATGGTCGAGAAGTCGTCCCCAGACTAATTTTGACTACTCTTGAATACTCTTCCTGTAGAAAACGTGCCCAGCTTAGCACTTGATCGCTGCCCCTCCCGAGGGGCACTGGAAACCCCCCTGGGCCCATCGGTCGGGCGCGGGGCTCCCTGCTGGGGGCGCCCGCGGCGGCGAGGCGGCGCACCGCGGCCGGGCGCCCTGCGTGCAAGCGTCCCTCGCTCTCGCCACTCCTCGGGGGCGGACCAGAGGGGGGTGATGACTAAGGGGGGGGGATCTTATGGCGGGGGCCGTGATATTTCCTCGGATTTCGTGGCGCCTCTTCTTACTGTAGAGGCCTCCGGCTGGTGACGCCGATCCGGGACGATCCCGCTGTCAGAAGGACGCTGTCGCCCCAGCGCGCTTGTTTAAACGTAAGTGGTTTGGAAACAGCTTGGAGGCATTGCGTGGGCTTCTTGAGGGGCCTCTACGACGCATCTTCGAGGCCTCTTGGGGGGGCGTCTTGGAGGTGATTGTTGAGCCTCTTGGGGGCCTTTTGGGCTTCTTGGGGGGCATGCAGGAGGCCTCCTGGAGGCCTCCTGGGGGTGTGTAGGAGGTAATTTTTCAGCCTTCCGGAGCGCTTTTGGGCGCCTCTTGGGGGCCTCTTGAGGGCCACTTGGAGCCTCTCGGGGTTTCTTGGGGACTCCTAGGGCCATTTTGCTGCCTCATGGGCGCCTCTTGGGCCGTCTTGGGCCTTTCTGGGGCCGTCATGGAGCCCTCTTGGGCGCTTCTTGGGCCCGTCCTACGTCCCGCGTGGGCTGTCTTGGGGGCCTCCGGGGCCGTCTTGGGCCCTTCTTGGGCCGACTTGGGGCCCTCTGGAGAGCCTCTGGGCCTGTTTTTGGGGTCTCTTGGGCCGTGTTGGACACTGCGAAGGCCGAAGAAGCGAACATGCAAAACATGTACGTTTTGCTAAGGGAGTGGGACAGATTTTCCGTCTTTGGGCACCCTTAGGAGGTGTCAGGAGCCGTCGGAGGAATATTGAGTGTCTGGGAGCGATGTTTCGGCCTCTCAGGGCCCTCTTGGGTCGTCTGGGCGGCCGCTGGGTTTTTTATGAGCCAGCCCGCGTTCGAGCTCTCTGGGGCGAGGGGCCGACCCGAAGTTAGCTGGAGCTCAGATTTCGCCACCAAATTTACTCGGAATAACCCCCCCCTTACCCCGGCAGAGCCCCCCCGGCCCCCCCCCGCAGAGCTGAAGCTCAAGAACTGAGGCTCAGGCTGTATCTGAGGGTCTTTGAAACTCACACGCCAGATCGGCGGATTTCATTCCGTCCCTGGCCCCCCCTTGGGCCGCGCACGTGCCGCCGGCCATGATTTGCGCCCCCTCCCTCTTGGCCTCCTGGGAGGCCCTCACCGCCACCGCTGGACTCGCCGCGAAACTCCCCACAGACCCGTGGATGTGATTGGTAAGGCCTTGCGGCCGGTGCCGCCGACCCTGGAGGCCTCGGCCCTCGACGGAAATGGGAGGGAGAGGGCGTGCGTCCGGGGCCTCCTGGGAGGCCCTCGTCGCCACCGCTGGACTCGCCCCGAACCTCTCCAGAGACCCGAGGATCGGTTTTTTCAATCCAGCGGTTTCTCCTGGATTTCGGCCTCCGGGGCCCGTTGTCGGGCCCGGGGGCCAGCAAACGTAGATCCAGGACGAAGAGCCGCCCCCGGGGACGGGGTCGAGACCTCTGGGGCCGCGGATTGAACACATCAGATCGGCGGGGGTCTGGGTCCCTGGCCAGAGCGCACCGCGGGGGAGGTGCGGGGAGCAGCCGTGTCGGTGCCTCTTGGTTTCCCCACTCGTCCCCCCTCCCCCCCCCGCCGCCCCCTCCCGAGCCCTCCGCCGCCCGCCGTCCCCTCCAGAGCTTCTCTGGCGCCCCTCCCAGAGCCCCTCCGGAGCCCCCTCGCCGCCCCCTTCCGCCGCCCCTTCCAGAGCCCCTTCCACAGCCCCCAGACCCCCCCCCCACCGCCCGCTCCAGAGTCATCCGCCTCGCTCTCGGGGGCCCTCAGGCGGTGGTGCGAGTGACCTCACAGTTGGTGGGGATTCGGCGGGGAGTCGGGGCCGCCGTGCGTATGCGCTTTTGGGGCTGGGGTCGTACTCTACCAAGGACGTCTCGGCTGGCTGGGGCCTCGGAGGTCTCAAGACCCTGCGGTGAGGGGCCGTGCGGTGAGGTCTTTGGGGGTTCCGAGGTCACCGCTCGGTCTGTCACCGCACTGTTTCGGGACCCCCGACAATCTGTTCAGGATGCTGGGAGGGCGAATGGGGCGGCGGAGGGGCCCTTCGGTTTGGGCGAGAAATTGCTTAGCTCCAGCAGCGGCGGGTGTGGCGGCTTCGACTAGCTGCTGTTAAGTGTCCTGTCGATTGCGTGGTCCATGGCCGCGGAGCCGTGAAGAAGCGACGCGAAGCGAGCGCCAGAGTCATCCGCGCTCCTCTGTGGAGCCGCCCGTACCCGTTAGGGCATGGGTTGGAAGCCTTGGCCTCAAGAATGTGATACGTAGGTGGCCTCACGTGGTAATCACCATTCAGTGCTCCTGACTGCTGATAGTCAACCGTTGCAGGTAGTTTGTGCTGTTGTTCTCGTGTTGTCTTGGTTCCCGAGTTCTGCTCCTGCCCAGAGAGCCTTGAGGGCCCGGGGGGAGATGAGGGAAGGGGGAGGGGGAGGGGACAAGCTAAGTGCGCTCGCGCCATACCCGACATCCTACGCCTCCGACCCTTCCATTGCACTGCTTTGTTGAATGCCTGCCGAGAGATGTTCTGCACGAACAGAAAAAAGGCAGCTGTTTACTTTGGAAGAGGTGGCGGATGGGGACCGTAGACGCGCTAAAGGCGATGTAGGTAACGGCGATGTAGGTTTCGGCATTGTAGGTGGGAGTGCCTCGTGGCCAAACCAATTGTATGACATCGTGGTTCTTGCTTTCATACAATTCGCTGCGTCGTTTTCGCTCGATACATTCGCACATGTGACATGTAGGAAAGTGTGGTTCTTGATTTCCTACCATTTGTTCTGCACGAGCTCGGCGTCATAAAAGTCGGATTCCCAACATCGCCGTTAACCAACATCGCCGTTAGCGTGGCCTTGGTGAGGAGGAGGAGGAGGAGGAGGAGGAGGAGGAACATGAGGATGAGTAGGAAAAACAGGGGGAAGATTGAGGAGCATGGTGATGAAGATGATGATGCTGATGATGATGATGCTGCTGATGATGATGCTGACGATGCTGCTGCTGCTGCTGATGATGATGATGAGGAGGAGGAGGAGGAGGAGGAGGAGGAGGAAGAGGAGAAGGAGGAGGAGGAGGATGAGCCGTCGCATCAGGAGTATAAACAGGACGAGCGGGAGGAGCAGGAGGACCAGGGAAAGGCGAAAGAGGGGTGGCGACAACGACGACGAAGCTCTCGGATCTTGACATGTGGCCCGCTCTGGGGCACGAGCGCCATTCTGATCGACATATCGGAAGGCAGCATTTGAAGTCCTGTTCGCAAAAAGCTGCCTGTGGGGGCAGAGCCGGGCCACTCGGACAGCATCCGGGGAGAGAGGAGACAGTCAGTCAGTCAAGCCTGGCGCCCACACGGCGCATTGGCAAATGTGCACCTGCAAGACGCGACGCGTCGATCATTATTGGACCCTTGCTAAATCCCCGAGGTTGCGGCAGCGCCCGGCGCAAAAAGGAACGCATCACGATATGACGCAGAAAACACGAAGCGCATCATGTGTTTGAAGCAGAACGAAACAAGCGCCCGATTGTGAAGCAACTGAACGTGAAATGCTTGCAGAGGCAGGGGGGGCAAGAAGGGCGAGGAGGACAACGAGGAAGGGGGGGAGGAGGAGCAACACCTGGCCTACACCCCGCGTGCTGGCAAAAGCTCACAAACTCAAGGGGTCCATTGTTGTTTAGGCCTCTCCCGGCGTCGCTGGTGCTCCCATTCCCTTCGGCTGTCGGTGCCATGCTCGCACGTAAAGTGTAAGAGTATGGTCTCCTGGCAATGCTGCGATTTTTCTATACAGCGTTTTCTGTCGCTCGCGCAGTGTGCAGCTCGGTGGAAGTTCCACCGCTCTGTCCAGAGCCTATTTGTGGGAGACTGCGTGTCAAAGCTGTCCGAGCGAAGTCTGTCTGCGTGCAACAACCACAGAATTTCTAAATTGTGCAATTACTTTGGCAGCACGTGTGATTTTATTTTTTCTGCGGCGAGAACGTTATCGTGCGACTGACACCGGGCAGGGCTCGTGAAAGTTTGCTTGGCTTCACCAAGTCTTCGTGTAACTTCTTGGTTGAGCCACGCAGTGGACGTTCAGCAGGCCTCCCCCAAACACAGGTTGCTCCGCGATTAAAAGTGGAGCGCCAGTTGGTGAGGATATGTGCCAAAAGTATGAACGCGAATGCATACAGTTATGTCCCAGTTGAGCATCAGTCCGTACCCTTGGTCTTCGTCGATCATTATGCCCAAGAATCTTAGTAACTTCCTGGAGACGCTGCTGATAAGGAGGTCAGGACATACTAAGTACTTTGGCTCCGCAATATTTTGATGCAAACCCACCATTTGTTTGGCAATGCCGGAGAGCACGACGCTTTTAACACGTATATTTAAGTATGGCGAGGGTAGGCATCCCTGGGCGATCCCTGCAGCTTGATTCCTTTGGCTAGCATTCCCAGCAGGATCCTTTGATATTACATTCTTCTGTTTGTAAACAGATCCGCACGGCGTCCTGAAGCACATCAATTCGATCAGACGTTTTGACCAATCTAATAATACTGCCATTAGTCCTGGCGCCGTGCCTGTTTGTGCGGCGTGCAATGCTGATGGCTTGCCATCTGCCTCAGCCCGGGCGGAAACCGAGCTGGCTCGAGAAATATTCTCTGCTCCGTCCTGCCAGTTTGGATGCGTTTTCAAATGATCCACACTAGAAACTTACACCCAATTGGCACACAAGCAATGATTCTATCGTTCTTTTGCACGCTGGTGTCGCTTTTTGACGTTATAGCATTTCCAATTATATCCGTCACTCGTCTGGTATGTCCTGCTCGTCCCAACACCTCTGAAAACTGACGGCCACCAACTCTCCACATGCTTCTTGAGAACATGCCAGTATTTTTACACTCTGGAGGTATATTGTCTATGTCGCCCGCTTTGCCCGTCGAGAGCCCGCAATGCTTTTTTTCACCTCCTCCATGTGCCATGTTCGTGTCACTGACGATAGGTAGTATACCTCCCATGTATTCCTGCCCGGTCGGTGTAAGAGTTGCAGATGCCGCTTCCCATTGCACTTCTTCCAGATTTTCTGCTATTGTATCTGCACGTTCGGTACTCTCCACAGTCTGTCCTTGCTTGTATTGAATGTGCATTGGCCGTTCAGGAGGTCTTCTCCGTAGTAGGCGAATGGCTGTCCACGATCCTCTGGCCAATTGTGCATCAAGCCATTTCCTTTCACCTGCCCTTACGGATGATTTGATACGCTTGCTCAGCTTCTGTTGTTCCACTACCTCACCACGTGCTTGCAATTCATTGCGTTTGTTCAATAATTCCAGCGTGGTCGTTGTAATCCATGGATGCCGCGGTTCACCCTGCTTTGGTGAATAACTTCTGCAGCATGTTACATCGGATATCTAATATGGCACGCATGTATGTTCAAATTCGTCGCCTGTGTGGGCATGAGAGATGCAACACCGCTGGCTGTAATATTATGTCACACCTTTGTTGTTTAGCAATCGGTTCGTGCAGCGTGTGTTTCTGCTATGCTTCTGTAGCGTGATGTCGAGTTCGATGTTCAATAAACATAGCATCAAACAATGCCGGGATGCTAACGTTGTTTCACGATCAGCCCAAACGTCTGACATCTTCGCAAGTGTTGCGTGGTTCGTTAGACAGTGGTCGTTTTGGGCGACGCCAGATCCCACAGGGCTTGTTCTGTCCTCTTCGGTGCCGTCGTACGTAACCAGCTCTTCAACCGGATGCCCAAAACACGTGAAGGCAATAGCGGTCGATCTTGCTCTTCAGCTTTCTACTAACAGCTTGCTGTTTGAATAATTCCGCCGCTGGGGCCATGTGTTCCGAAACGTGAATTCGCCTATGACGTCGTCGTCTCCAGGCTCACGATAATACAGCCTAGCGTTGAAGTCCCCCAAAGCAATTTTACAGTTGTGTCTGGTAGGTGCTGGCCAGACCTTCGTGAGGCGGTCGTGGAACTCCCTCCTCTCTTCGCAGTCGCGACCTGCATGCGGAGCGCACACGGTAACACAGTATGGCTTGCCCGTCCGAAATAAGCGCGTGGCTGAACCGCGTGTGGGGAGATCAATAATCCGACTCCAAAGTAAAATCTACCTGCCGGCGGCGGTTGCGAAGTCCTACTGGGTGATTGTGCGCGTGTGGGGGCAGCCAGAGGCGGATTTGCGGTGAGCGGCGAGCGGCTTGGAGCTCCCAGGCCCGTGCGTTCGATTGCCTGGTTCAACCCTGGCGATATCGTCTGCCTCTCATTGCTCCCCTCGCTACAGTGAGCGGCTTGAATGAGGAACACTTACTTTCCAAAAGGGGCTCGGTCGTTCCTTAGATTTTGCATGCGTTGTTTACAGTTCGTATCGTTCCTTATGCGTTATTCCTTGGGGTAAAAAGGGGCTTCGTTCCTTATTTATCGTTCCTTAGGTCAGGCCGATGACTGTACCACTTCATGCACAGGGCTCTTTGGCTCTCGAGGTATATCCCAGTCGAGGTGTTCATCTGTAAGCACGGGCTAGCCTGTGCATCATGCGCAGCAGATCTTGGCACACGCATCAGCTCGAGACGGCCACAGCCTTGTCATGATGCTGGCAGGGCAGGTAAGTGTGCAGTGGGAAAACAAGTCGCCAAGAAAAATCTCCACATCGACTGTCGCCCGCACCCTCCTCCTCCCTTATTTTGGGATCGGAAAGGGCACCATCACCACCACTTGGTGGGGGGGGTGCAGGATAAGCTGTTCTGTGGGATGCAGGCGTGCAGGATGCTCCCCGAGCGCCCCTGAAACGGTCCACACCACCACCCCTGACTTCTTTCTGCCTCCACCATCCAGTGGTGGTGGTGCGTCTCCTTTCGCCTCCCACCGCCCTCCCCGAGGCAGCCCCTGTACGTCCAGTCGAGCGGCGGGCCCAGACTTCCGACGGCTTGATCTTTTTTCTTCATCCGCGAGCCCCAGAGGTCGCCACCACCGACTCCTTCCCCGGGGGCAGCTCTTCGTCGCGGATGCGTTTTAAGTGGGAATTCGTCTCATTCGGCCACTGGATGTGGGAACCGTTTTCCGGTCACCTGGGCCCCTTTTGGCCCCAGAATGCACATGCTCTAACAAAAAGGGCTCCCCGAGGCAGTTTTCTTTGGGACAGTCCGCCAGAGTTGGGCGGACGGCCACGGGGGGGCGGTGAGCGTGGGGGCATCGAGCAGCGATTGCCCTCAGCTGCCACCGCGGGCCCAGGGGGTGCACGACAGGTGCACGCTTCTCAGGGGCAACGGCAGGGGGGACACAGGCATTGGGGGGGTACGCATCGACCCCCAATCGCCCGTTCATCGCCAGTGGGGGTCTGACAGCCCCAGCCCGCCCAGGAACGGAGGGAGTTGCCAACGAGGGCCTATCGCCGATCTATGGGCGATGTGTCGCCGATTCCAAGTCGATGCTTCCCTCCCTATGCCAGTCCCCCCCTTACAGTCAACCCGCATAGTAAGGATGATCGGCTTTCCAAGGTTACCGTTGCATCCTTCCCCTTCGGCCCATCCTTGGCCGCTTGCGCTGGCCGCACCCCGCTCGCAAAGTGTCGACATGGCCTTCCAAGGCCCTTGCCTCCCTCCTGATCGCGCGTCCCTGTTCTACGGGTTTGACTGTGAACCGCCCCTCCCCCCCCCGCGTGGACACCGACGAGCGCCCGACGGAGGTCTGGGGAGGAGGGCGGCGGGACAGGGCGGCGACCTGCTGGACGCCTCCGACAGCGACGAGGAGGCGGGCCCGCGCGGGCGCGGGGCGGGCCGTCGCGCGAGAGGCCCGAGGCCCGAGGCCGCGGGCCGCGCCCAGGCAGGCGAGCGGGCGGGCCCCGTCGGACGGGCGGGGCGGGTGGGCGGCGCCCAGCGGGGCGGAGGGGCCCCCACTGGGCGGAGGAGCCCGGGGGGGAGGTGAGCAGGAGAATTCGACTACACGTAAGAGTGACCTTTCGCCGGAGTGACCTTTGGTGCGGGCGCAATGGGGTCCCCCGATCACCGATTGCGATGCGATAGTAGCGTCTTGCGCGCCTGAGTTTGGCCCCCCGCGGCCCCCCAAAAAGCCGCGCACCAAAGGTCACTCTTACCCAGGGTCACTCTTGCGTGTAGCCGAAGAATACCGAGCACTTTCTCGGGGTGGAGGGCAAAGGGTGAAACCTGGCATGCCGTGTCGATGGATTCTCGAGGCGTGAGTCTGCAGGAGGGGAGCCACAAGACGGACGGCTGCTCGAAGTGCAAGAGCCCATGCGGACTTCACCCTGAGCCCTCCAGCCTAAGAAAATGCTCAGGGAGAAGGTCCTCTCAGAAGTCCTGGAAGTCCCCCGGGCTTCCGAGAAGCCGTCCAAGCCGTCCCCGAAGACGCAGAGAACCTCTCAGAGCGAAGGCTGGGGGGCTCCTGAGAAGCCCCGCCTTCTGAGAAGGCCTTCTCCTTCTCACTTCCCCCCCTCGCTCGCCGCCGACCAACGGGCGGGCCGGGCGGGGTACTGAAGCGGGCGAGCGGGCTTCAAGCAGGCGACCGGGCGGACCCTGACGGGCGGGCCGGTCGAGCGGGCCCTGCCGGGCGGGTCGAGGGGGGCGCTGGGTGATCGCGCCGCCTCTGCGCGGTCGCAGCCGCGGCGCGGCCGCGCCCAGGCAGCCACGGGCCCCGCCGCGTGCCGCCTCGGCTCGGCGCGGGGGGCGCTGCCCGAGCCACGCCCTGGGAGGCCAGGGGGGGAGGCGGGGGGGGGGGGGGCGCTGTGTGGTCGTGCCGCCTCTGCGCGGCCAGCGGCCGCGGCGCGGCCGCGCCCAGACGGCCACGACCCTGCCTCGTGCCGCGTGGCTGGGCGGCGGCCAGAGCCACGCCCCTGTGGCCATCAGGCGGGGCTGATGGGGCCGTGCCGCCTCTGCGCGGCCGCGGCGCGGTCGAGCCGAGCTGCGCCCTCCTCGCCCGTGTCTCGTGAGGTGCCAGGGCACGATCACCACCAGCCTGGAACCTATCCCTATCCCCATGTTGGGCATCGCCTCGTCACGATGGCGATCTTAGGGATTCCCTCAGTTTCTGGGGGTGCATTGCATCCCTAAGATTGTCATCGCCTTTGGGCGTGTCAATCTCAGGGATAGGGATGCGTTCGGGGCTGGTTAGATCAGCGCTGAGACTGCTTCTTTTTGGAGGGCTCTCCAGTCCGCCTGGGCCGCCGACGGTCAGCAGTGCGCGAGCGATGGCGATCTGCAATCAGGATGCAGCGGCAGTGAAAGCTGGCCCCACGTGTCCTGTAGGTTTGATCTTCTGGATTCGAGGGTCTCGGCCCGAGGTCTTTGGCCCTCCAGGAAGACCTCTGGAGTCCTTCTCCTTCTCTTCCGCCTCCCAAAGGCGCATGAGCTTTCTCTTAGACTCAACGCGGGGATGTACGCTGTTGCATGCACGGCCTCTCGTGAGGTCTCCAGGGCCAATGGCTGTGGAGGGGAACGCTGCTCCTGCTACTGCCTGTGCCGTCCCGCGTATCTTGCAAGAGCCAGTGAGTCCAGGATGATCTTCGAATGCTGCTCAAATGATGGGGTACGGCGGGCTCGCGCCCGCAGTGCGGGAGCGGGCGTCCAACGGTGAGGAGCCCCCGACAGCCTCAGGGGCCTCCCGACGGCGTACGGTCGAACCAGGGTAGAAGATCGAGGCTGGTTCGGGGAGGGTACCCTGATGTTCTTCGTGCTTGCTTGGATGTTCTTGTGCATCCTGGGGTGTTTGGCCGGCGCAGGGTTTCACGTTCTTGAAGGATGGTTTTTTGTCTTCGGTCCAGCTGTACATTGTTCAAGATTGTTCACGCGGTGACCTGCCGCAGCCCCGGCCCCCTGCACGCGCGCGGCCAGCTGCAGGGTGGGCCCCTGGGGAAGATTGTCTCTGCAAATCTCCAGGCCGTTTTTTTTCTATGCTTGCCCCTTAGCTCGGCCACGCGCAGAGGCGTGTAGGGGGAGGGGGGACGGCTTCTTGGAAGCGCCCTTATTTCTTTAGAAGTCGCGGGCCTCGTCTATAGATGTGTAGATGTGCCAGCGCTGTCGGCAGGAAGGAGGGGAGCCCACTCGGAGCTCGCCGGCTCGCACCCAGCGCACGTCGCTCTGCCAGCCAGCGTTGTTGCCGGGTTGATCGCTCCGATCGTGTCGGCTCACGCCGAGCGTGCCGGCTCGCTCCCGGCGCACATCGCCTTGCCAGCACTGCTGGCAGGACGCTCCCTTCGAGCAGGGCCAGCTGTAGTCATGTTCAGCTGGCCAGCGCTGTCGGCTGGAAGCTCTCTTGTGAGCAGTGTCGTAACTGGTTTCACCCAGCTTGCCAGCGCCGTCGGCCCGAAGCTCTCTCTGAACATGGTTGTTTGCATAGAGGTAGACCGATTTATGTGTATAAGACAGGTATGACTTTATGTGCTTAGATAGGTTGGCGTTGCGGTATGTATGTATGCATGCATGCAGCGGGTGAGGAACGAATGTATGTATGTATGCATGCATGCATGCATGCATGAACACGTATACGTATACGTCAATAGTTTGGTGCAATTATAGGTGGATACATATATATATATGTAAGCTGCATATGAGCATACACATGTTAATGCATACATTTTTGTACATGCGCATATGTATGTATGTTTGGTGTGGCTAGGTCTTCGTAGCATACGCATATACGCATGCAAGTGTATATGCGTATGCAGATATATGAGTGTATTTATATGTGTATGTGTTTAGGCATGTGTACTATATTAATGTATGGACATGTGTATGCTTATGTATTCGTATATGCGTATGTCTGTACGCGTACGTGTAGGTGTATGTATACGCGCCAATATATATATACATATATATGTATGCGTACATACAATATTTATGCGTATGTATTTGGTACACATCGATGTATAAGCATCAGCATATGCGTATGCATGTGTTTAGTTTTAGTCGACATACATGTATATGTGCTTGTTTATGTATGCATATGTGCAGATACGTATATGTGCAACTGCAATTGTACATGTAGATGCATGCGTATACATGATTATCTTATACGTATATATATATGCATATATAGATTGATATATCGCCAAGGCGCCCACAGGTACGGGTCATACTGCAGTTGCGAAAGGTACCTTTCCTCAGGGTCGCCGGGACATGTACGTTTTGGATTTTTCTGTCTGTTTCAGGGAGCCGCTGTAGACACGAAGGGGACAGTCCATTTGGAAGTGCCGCTTAGCATGCCTTCAGATTCCCAGCGACTGTGCGGATCGTTTCGAGTTGGATGCACACGCATTCGCAAGTCCCAAGTAAGATGTTTACCATTCAAGAATATGATGTACAAGGTATGTGACCGCCAGATCTCGTCAACGCCTGCTATCAGATGCGCACGTGCACCAGCAAGGGTATGTTTGGGTATGGACACAATCCGTATCAGGGTGATATGGCCCTTGAAAGCAAGCTGTCTACAACAATATTACGCGATGTTTTGGTACGTGGTTCTGTATACGGCAAATCACCTTTGCGATGCCAGTTCAAAAGACGCAACGTGGTGAAAAACAATATGTCTACATTCGTTCTCACTACAGGGCGCTGGCAACCGCCAAGAGATGTGAGGATTTGATCACGCAAAACTGTGCCAACATCTCGATGCTGCTTTTCACGTGCCCATTATCACCAGACCGCACGGACATTCGACTGGTGCGTCAATTAAGAAACCATCACAGGTGGTATGCAGGAGTTGACATGTTAGATCAGCGGTGCAATGTTTGCATGCGTCCCTCCGGGAGGAGTGAGGGCACCTAGCTGCTTCCGAATACGGCATCACATCTATATCGTGTACATCAGCAACAGAGCAGGCCAGATAGCGGCTGAGTGCCCAGCGCTCGGGAACTCTCTGCGCGCTGAGAAAAAAGGAACGAAAGATGGTACCGCCCGATCAGAAGCGGGAAAGCAAACTGCAAGGCTGATCAGGTAGGAGGAACGCACCACAATTCTGCACCCGCTGGCACTCCAGCCAATATGACACAGGGAAACTGTTCAAATCAACGCGATTTCATTCCAGCTTTTGCCAGGAAGCTTACTGAAGCCAACGATCCGGCGGAGCAGTTTTGAACGCGATGATGCAATTAGTGACCGCTGCTGTGCTGTAGGCGGTGCCTCGTGGCGCGAGTTCTCACAGGAGGCTCGCACGGATGGCCTTCGCAAGTTCTGCTTTGGATCCCGGCCAGAGTCCGACGCCGCTGTAGACCACGGGGCAGATGGACAGATGCCATCAACCATTTTTGCGACAAGAGCACGGCACGAACCTCATGAACGTTGTCCGCAGCTGGGAACGTTTCCCTTGGCCCTTGGCAGCTGTTGGAAATTTGATTTCGTGCTTTCATGCGAAATGACTGATCTATGATATATGTGTTCAATATTGCCCTATCCGCCACCTTTCTCTTGCATTTGCGCTATGTTGCCATAGTGTTTCACGCCCTCCGTCTCACCCTGTGGAGCGAGGTGCCTTCATAGGCTTTTCGACTGGACATGACTTGACTTGACTTGTAAAAAAAAGCCTCAAGACGGCCAAAATGCCCTCCAAAGGCCTCCCACGAGGCCCTCAGGAGGCTAACGAAGTAGTTGTCTTCGAAGGTTTTTGGATGTTTTTTTGTGTCTTGTTTTTTTCGTATTTCCGACGGTCTCAGAAAGCCCTCGAGGCCCCAGAAATGAGTTCAAGACGGCCCAAGCGGCACCCAAAGAGAGCGCCAGGACGGCGCAATAGGTTCCCAAGATGGCCCAAGAGTGCCCCAAAACGGCCCAAGGGGCGCCCAAGATCGCCAAAGAGTGCCCCAAGATGGCCCCAAGAGGTGCCCAAGAGGGGGAACACGAACCGACAATTCGAGCCTTCCACCCCAGGAGGCCTTCAGGAGGCCCAAGAGGCTCCCAAGAGGGCCCCCCAGAGGCCCCCCAGGGGCCCCACGAGGCCCCAAAGAGACCCAAACAGAGGCCCCAAGAGAACCCCAAAAGGCTTCCAAAATTGCCTCGAGAGGCCCCCCACGAATTCCAAGCGAATTTCCAAGAGGCCTCTAACCCACAACCCAGGCACGGTGGCGGGATGGGCCGCGAAGGCCACTAGATGGTCCAAGACGCCCGAGACGGCCTCCAGGATGCCCAATATGCTTCCAAGCGGGCTCCAGACACAGCTCGAAGAGGCCAAGAAACATGTATGTTCCATCTTTTCTGTATATATATATATATATATATGCACACACACACACACCAATTTTGGCGTTTCCGCCGGTTCCGCTCCCCGACACTGCAAAGCGCCCAAATAAGCTCCGAGGATCGCCCCAAGGCGGCACAATAGGCTTCAAAAGCGCCCCAAGACGGCGTAATAGGCTTTTGTCGACATTTTGGCTCAACCAGTTTCGACTCTAGCAGCGACTGCCCTCTGCGCCTCTCTCCTGCTGGTGCGCCTCCTGGCAATCTGAGAAGCCATGCGTGAGCTCGTCCACATCCAGGGCGGCCAGTGCGGAAACCAGATCGGAGCTCAGCTACCCCAAAGTGATGATCTGTGAAGCGTGCGGTCCTTCGGGATGGCAGCGACTGAAGCTGAGACTCGGGTGTCCGGGCAGGGAGCCCATAAGTGGCTCACGTGGCAGCTTGTCCGGCGCCTTCCACACAAGGTGGTCAACCTAGGTATGCCATACCGGCGCGGCTTTCGTGTTCATTGTGTAGCGGCTGGAGGTAACCCTGCACCCAATGGCAGCGGCACTGGGGTCTCGGCGTTCTGCCCCTCCGCGCAAGCCGAGGGAGATCCGCACAATCTAGTGGTGGGAGTGCACCGGTGCCAGAACCCTCAGCCCACCTGCAGTTCGCCAAATATAGTGTCATCCCAGTGTCGTGAGGAAACCCAGACGGAGGAACCTGCGGGTGTGGCTCGCCGGACCCTCACAAGCAAGCCCTCCGTCGGGTGCAGGATAGTGCCTAAGGTCGCTAGGTGGTGGTTCATGTTAGCTGTGCCGGAGGGGTGGTCTACAGAGACTTTTCTCGCCCCCGCCGAGGTCATCAGAGCGAGCACGGCATTGACCCGACGGGAACTTACCACGGAGACTCCGATCTTCAGCTAGAGCGCATCAGCGTGTATTACAACGAGGCGACTGGAGGGCGCTATGTCCCTCGCGCGGTGCTGATGGACTTGGAGCCAGGCACCATGGACAGCGTCCGCGCCAGGCCGTTCGGCCAGCTCTTCCGCCCAGACAATTTCGTGTTCGGCGCTTTCCTCGCCTCCTTCGACTACTCGCTGGCTTTCGATCTTACAGATCCGGCCGTCGTGGAAAGACTCTTTGGCCATTTGGGCTTGCCAGCCTCGGTGAACAGGCTCATCGCCGGAGTCTGGCAGCACCAGAAACGATGGGTGGAGGTGCAGGGGCACGTGCACAATGCCCCCTGCGAGGTGACCTCCTCCATGCCCCAGGGAGACTGTTGGAACGTCATCGGTATGAACGCTCTGCTGGCAGGACCCGTGGTGGACCTCAAGGCCCGGTTCCCCCAGGCGCGACAGGGCACCTGGATGGACGACAGGAGCTGGACGACACCCACGGCAAGCATGGCAGCAGCGCTCGGGGCTGCCTGGCGGCGGTGGAGCGCCACCCTCGGACTGAAGGATAATGGGAGCAAGGAGCAGTTCTCCCACCGCACGGCCGAGGGCAGGAGGGCCCTGGGGCAGCAGGCAGGCGCGGCGGCGACGGCCGTCAAGGTGGCCCCGCTGATCCTGGGGTGCTACATGCAGCCTGCACGCCGGGTGGGCCTGCAGGACAAGGAACAAAAACGTCTCGACGTCACGGCGGTGCGCCTGAGGAGGATCGCCATGCTGCCGCTGCACACGGGCGCCAGGAGGCCTTTCGTGTCAGGAGTCCTCGGAGGGGCCACGTGGGGATGGGTTGCCCGGCGCCCGCCCGCGGCAGCGGTGGACAAGCTGGAAGCAACGGTGCGCAGAGCACTGCGGATGCCGAAGCGGGCGTCGCCTCACCTCTTCGAGATGCTGATGGGCCATTTTACCAGCGTCTTCTACCGCGCCGTGGAGGCCCAGGTGACGACGGCAGTGCGGCGGGTGGGCAAGACGCGCGCCCTGCCTGGGGCGAGGGGCGGCGTCGGCTGGCCCAAGTGCCTCTGGGAATGGATGCAGCAGCTGGGGTGGCAGGAAAATGTGGGCGTTGCCGGTGGCGGCGCGGGCGCCCTGCAGGAGGGCTGGCGCTGGTGGCGCCCCGTCACGCAGGCCACCATCAGGCTGAGGCCGGCGGAGGTCGCCCCCGTGGACAAGGTCATGCACGACCTCCGTGAATCGTGGAGGGCTACGAAGTACAGCTTATGGCAGCGGCAGGCGCGGAACGACTCTTTCGTCTGCCGCCGCATCGGCTACGACAGTCGGAGGCTGAAGGCGGCCATCGGGGCGTACCGGCGCGATCCTGCAGTGTTGCTCGTTCTGACAGGGGCGACAATGTCGCCAGCAGCGTGGGCGTCGGCTCACGGAGAGGACATCCAGTGCCCCGTATGTGGAGAGCGGGGGGGGGGGCCACTTCCTGCATCTGCTGTGGCAGTGCCCGGGCCTGGCCAGCAAGAGGCCGCGGCTCCCGCCCAGCGATGCGCTGCAAGCGCGCTTGGGCTGGCCAGCGCTGCAGAACGAAGCAACTGGCGCCAACGAGGTCCTCCTGGAGTGGCACAAGCAGGTCCGGCAGGGCATCTTCGAGCACCGCTGGGGCGTTGGCGCCAGGGAGAAGGGACAGGGAAAAGGCAAAACAGGAGGCGGCGGCGCGGCTGCCGCCCAGGAAAGGAGGAGGTAGAGGAGGAAGAAGACGCGGAGGGAGGCTGGGGAGGAGGAGACCTGGTCCATCACGTCCTTTCTGCTTCTTTTCTAATAAATAGAATTTTGGAAGAGGCCACACGTGCATCATCTTCACCATTTTTGGCAAGAGGCTGACGGTCTCCATACATTTTCGGCTTCACGCGTGTTTTGGGAAAAGGAGCTGGCGATCTCAATACTGCATTTCGGCTTCACGCATGTTTTTTGGTAAGAGGCTGACGATCACCGTGCGCCTTCGGCTTCACACGTGTTTTGGGAAAGGAGCTGGCGATCTCCATACTACATCTTCGGCTTCACACATGTTTTGGGCAAGAGGCTGACGATCACCGTACATCTTCGGCTTTACTTTCTGGCAGGATATCATATATATGTATATCTTCACAATTTTCTTCGGCAGTGGGGTTGTTCATCCAAATCTTCAGCTACTTCGTTGGCTTGGTTTCCTCCGGGATTGGCCATAGTCGTCGTTAATTCTTTCGCGAACAATTGGGCTGAGGGGCGCTACGCGGAGGGGGCGGAACTGATCGACATCGTCTTGGACGTGGTCCGAAAGGAGGCCGAAGGTTGCGACTGCCTCCAAGGGTTCCAGATGTGCCACTCCCTCGGCGGCGGCGCCGGCGCTGGCATGGGGACGCTGCTGATCTCTAAGGTCCGCGAAGGTCCTTGATGGCATCATGGAGACTTTTTCCATCATCCCCAGTCCGAAAGTCAGCGACACTGTCGTGGAGCCGTACAACGCGGTCTTGTCTTTCCACCAGCTGGTGGAGAACGCGGACGAGTGCTTCCTGTTGGACAACGAGGCGGTTTACGACATCTGCCTCCGCACGTTGAAGCTGACCACTCCGACCTACGGGGGCCTCGACCACCTGGTGAGCGCGGCGATCAGCGGCGTGACAACGTGCGCGCGCTTCCCGGGGCAGCTCAACTGCGACCCGCGCAGGATCGCCGTGAACCTGATCCCGTTCCCGCGGCTGCACTTTTTCATGACAGGCTTCGCACCGCTCACGTCGAGAGGCTCCCAGCAGTGCCGTGCTTTGACGGTGCCCGAGCTCACGCAGCAGATGTTCGACGTCCTGCAGGTCAACACTGTGTCAGGTTCCTCGCAGAAGCACCGCCCCCGCCAGCAGATGTTCGACGCGAAAAACATCCTGGGGCGTGGTCCTGTGGGGCGCTCCTTCCCTGCAGGGGGCCACTACGCTGGGGCGCGGTCACCATATGCCGCGAGGGCTGGGGCTGGGTGGCTGACCGTGGTACTCAACCCACGGGGTTGCCCTGCCCAGTGAAAGAAAGGCCGGACGGTCACATAGGGGAGGCGGCCGTGGGATTCTCCATCGCCGCCGAACTCACCCAGCTCATGGGGAGGTGGCCAAAGTGTCGCCGACGGGCACCGCATGGTCACTGCTTGTAATTCGGTGCGCGCCGGGGAATTTCCCGGCGCCTATCGGCACCGGCCATGCTGGCGGCGGCAGCTTCGTTCTGTGTTATCGACGCACGGCGGGCCGGGAACTGTGGGGCTGATCGAGGTCCCCTCGCATCGTCCACTGCGACACGGAGTGATTCGTGGAGTGGTGGGTTAATTCGACTCAGCTGGGTGGCCACGCGTGTCCGGGGGCCCATCTGACCCGTATTCGTCATTCCCCACGCATGCAGTCACCAGCATTGCATGCCAGCCCGCCGGGCGAGCTGTGAAGACGCGAAAAAAATGATGTGCGCAGCCGGCCCGCGCCATGGCCGCTACTTGACTGCCGCTGCGCTGTTCCGCGGTCGCATGTCCACGAAGGAGGTGGATGAACAAATGCTGAATTTTCAGAACAAGAATTCGTCATACTTCGTCCAGTGGATCCCGAACAACATCAAGGCGTCCGTGTGCGACATTCCCCCCGAGGGCCTGAAGATGGCGGTGGCCTTCGCAGGCAATTCCACCGCGACCCAGGAAATGTTTAAGCGAGTTGCTGAATATTTCGCGGCCATGTTTCGTCGCAAGGCGTTCTTGCACTGGTACACAGGAGAGGGGATGGACGAGATGGAGTTTACCGAGGCCGAGAGCAACATGAACGATTTGGTGTTTGAATATCAGCAGTACCAGGATGCCACAGTTGAGGAGGAGGGTGGGTTCGACGAAGAGGAGGACGGCGAGCAGTAAGTATGGATCGCGCCCTTGCTTTGCAACTCGTGTTAACCATCAACAGAGTTCCTTTAAAGTCGCTGCGTGAGCAAGTTGCGAGCAGGTCGTGGAGGGACAGCGTGTTGCCACGCTGTCTCTCACGGCCCTGTTCGTTTTCCACTCAGGGGTTCGCGTGTTTTCCGCCCTGAGCTCCTGCTTTGCACTCGCACAATAGATCTCTAGACTCGGGGTGGCCGAATTGCTAGACCGCGTCTTGTCCCTTTCACCGTGCCTTCGCGCTGGCAGAGAACAGTACGGCGTAATAGGCTTCAAAAGCGCCGCAGAGACGTCCAAGACGGCCCGAGAGGGCCCCAACCGCGGCCCAGGATCGGGAACGTGAGCCGAGAACCCGAGATCCTTTCCCCAGGAGGCCTCCAGAAGGCTTCAAGAGGTCCCCAAGACGCCCTAAAAAGGCCCAAAGGAGCTCCGAGAGAGGCCCCGAGGGGCACTTGAGAAAAGCAGGGATTCCTGCATTTTTTTACATTCGCCTGGCAGCTTCGCCCCTCTTCCGCCTCCTCCAGTTCCTCCTCCTCTGCGGCCTCCTCCGCTCTCTCCAACTCCTCCTCATCCTCCTTCCCCTTCTCCCCCAGGGAACCCCTTCACCTCCCCTTTTCCTCCCTCTTCTTCCGGCTACGTCCAGCCGCGGCGAACAAAAGGGCTCCCGAAATGCCTTTTGGGCCTGTCTTAAGCCGTCGTGGGTGGACCGTAGGAAGTCTAAGAAGCCGTTGGGCCCGTCTTCGTGGTTTTTGGAAGCCCTGGCTTCGGGTCTCTCCGGGGCGCTCTCGTGGGCCTCTTGCGAGTAGCTTTGGAGCGTCTCGGGGGCCTCTTGGGGGCCCCTCTGGGGCGTCTTGGGGCCACTTGGGGGCCTCTTGGGGCCTCTTGGCGACCTCTTGGTTGCCCCTGGGGGTCTCCTTGAGCGAGGACTCGAAATGTCTGTTCGGGTTCCCCGTCTGGGCCCCCTCTTGGGACCGTCTTTGGGCCCTCTTGGGCCGTCTTGGGCTCCTTTGAGGCCGTCTTGGGGCCCTCTCGTGGGCTTCTGGGGCCTCTTGGGGCGACCTTGGGGACCTCGTGCGCCGTTTGGGGCGTCTGGAGGCCGAACAGGAGAAGACGCCATATTCCTTCAGACCCCTTAAGGAACACCAGTGACTTCTGTATACCGGAGCCCTCTTAGGCTGCCCCATGGGGCGTTTTGGAGGCTTCTGGGGCCGTATTGAGGCCGTCTTGGGCGTTTTGGAGCGATCGTTCGGCGATTCGAGGCCATGTTGAACTGTCCTAGGGGCCCCTCGAGGCCCCCTTGGCCCGTCTTGGGTTTCCTCTTGGCCCCGACAAATTCACGCGGGAAGCCGCGACGGTGCCCAGGGGAACCGCGCCAAGCCCCGGGAGATTCGAGAGTGTTGAAGAACCTTTCGGATCGAGGACTGAGGCTCGGCTGATTAGGCAAAGTACCAGCGTTTGTATATACAGCAAACCACAGACTTGTATAACTATGTAGATGCACATACATACATGCACATATAGTTACACATTTACACACTTATATGTATACATACATACAAAAGCGTGTTTGAACACGCACACACACACACACATATATATATATATAAGATAAATAAAAACAACTTGCCGTGCCCAGTGATTTCGCCCACATGTCATTGCAAACATAGGCAGGGTTACTCAAGAGGCTTCTTCCGTTTCGCCGACCCCCCAAAAATGCATGGGCGAGTGGTTTTTTGACGCGTCCCGTATACCCAGCAGTCCATCCAGATCATTTGCGCAGCAGCATTGGATTGTTGTAGGGATTTGCGAGGAAGGGGCTTGAGACGAAGGGGGCTTGGGACGGAGGGGCGTATGACAGCATCGCTGATGCATCCTTAGTCTACTCTGGTCCTCCTCTCCCTGCTCCTCCTTCTCTTCGCCCTCCTCCTCACCTTCCCTCCCCTCCCTCCACCTGCCCTCCCCTCCCCTCCACTTCCCCTCCCCTCAGGGGACTCCCCTCCGCTCCCCTCCGTTCAAAGACGAGCAACTCCCGGCGCCCGCCAGTCGAAACCCACGCTCGCGCTCACCGACGGGCGCACGCCGCAGCCCTACCAGGCGCTGCCGCCCCGCTGCGGCCGCCCCGCCCCAGAAGGCCGCCTCGCCGACGGCGGTGTCAGTGGGATCGCAAACTTGCTTGGCACCGCGGCTACCCTCGAAGCTGTTCCCTCCTCCTCTTCCTCCTCCTCCCCCTCATCCTCCTCCTCGTGCTCGAAAGGTATATGTCCTGCTTGTCTCACCTCATCCCTGCCTGTGTTAGGACATCAACGATACCTACAAGGACTTTGGCCGTGCCGCCGACGACGACGAAGAACCTTGTGGCGCGCCGGAGCTCCCAGCGATTTCCCCTGGGCTTTCAGTGGCTCTTCTCCTCCTCCTCCTCCTCCACCCCTGTACGATGGGAACCACATCATCTTAGGAGGGCTTGGAGGCCCCCAAGGCTTCTCAAGGAAACCTCTTTTGCCCTTGCATGCGCCCCCTGTCCTCTCAGCACGCCGCCCCCCTCGGCCCGCTCCCTGGCGCGCGCTTCCGCAGCCAGGCAAGCAGGCCCTTCCTGACCCTTCCGCGCGGCCTTCCCCGCCCTTCCCTAAATCGCCCACTTCCCAGTGTATCCTCCCGACTGTTCCTCGCGTCTCCTCGCCCCTCCCTTGTTCCCGCCAAGACATTCCTGCTGGTCCCCCTCCACGTCGGTGGGGTGGTTTCTGCGGAAGCGATTCCGTGCGAAAGGGTATGTGGAGCGGGTTCGGGGGGCCGTGTTCCAGGGGGCAGGTTTTCGGGGACAGAGTCCGCGCGGAAACGCTCATTGGGAAAGCGGTGTCCGGGGACAAGGGCTCAGGGGCAAATATCGTTGGAAGGTTCTCGGGGGAGAGGATTTGTATCATTCCCGCGATTCCGCGTCCGCCCTCTGCAGTCGCCCCGACGTTTGGAAGTCGCCCCCGACAGACCGACGCATGCCCCTGCCATTTTCCCGAGTGGGTTGGCCCAAGACCCGTGAAGCAGTCTCACCGCTCGCAGACGCCCCGGAAAGACACAATAGGGCGCGCAAGGGCTCATGGGAGACACCCCAACATGCACCCAGCCTGCTCGGACGGTGGCCTGTTCTGCTCTTCCGATTGTTGTCGATTGAAGGGGGAACAATGCGAGGATGACGAAGGTGATGATGATGGTGGTGGTGATGGTGATGCGGATGTGCGTGATTTGGAGGGTGTTGATCTTTGTGACGCGGATGATGATGATGATGATGATGGTGTTGGTGGTGTCGATGATGCTGCTGATGATGCGGATGGTGCTTGTGATGGTGATTGTGATGGCGTTGGTGATGCTGATGGTGCTGGCATTGCTGTTATCTTGTAGCTGCTGTTTATTATGTGATTGCCCGTTGCATCTGTCGATGTTGTGTTTTGTTGTTGATGGTGTTGTTGCTGTTTGCGTCATTGTTGTTGTTGTTGTTGCTGCAATTGTTGTTGCTGCCGTTGTTGTTGTCGTTGTCGCTGTTGTTGTTGCTGTTGTTGTTGTTATTGTTGTTCTTGCTGGTGTTGTTGTCGTTGTTGTTGTTGTTGTTGTTGTTGTTGTTGTTGTTGTTGTTGTTGTTGTTTTTGTTTTTGTTGTCGATGTTGTTGTTGTTGTTGCTGCTGTTGTTGGTGTTGGTGTTGTAGTTGTTGTTGTTGTTGTTGCTGTTGCTGTGGCTGTTGTTGTTGTTGTTGTTGTTGTTGAGGTCTTATTTCGGAACCACAATTATTGTTGATCCCCCCACCGGTGCACATTGTATGTTTCAAGTGAAGTGCCCTCCCCGAGGTTCGCACCCTTTTTTATCAGGGAAAGTCTTGCGACTCAAACAGTGCCCCTGGCCCCCGAATTACAACAACAAGGGCTCCCGCCTAAGACTTCTGCACAATTTAGCCCGGACCGCCGCTCCCGCCTGAGACATTTCCGCATTTAGTTCAGGAGTCGCGCTCTCGCTTGGGATTTCCTTACAATTTATTCAGGAATCGTTCTCTCGGCGCTCTGGAGTCGTGCTTTCGCTGGAGACTTGCTTGCAATCTACTCGGGAAAGCCCCCTTGCGTTTGAATTTCCCGCAATTTATTCAAGCGCCGCGCCCCCGACATTCAGGCACCCAAAAGTCGCGCTCACGCCCAGGATTCCCTCACAGATTATTTAGGAATCGGGATCTCGCTGCCCTTCGTGGCTCCGTAGCAGCCCTTCGTGGCCCACCGTGCCCTTCGTGGACCCGTTGCAGCCCTCCGTGGCCCCCCCTCACTGCCCTTCGTGGCCCCGTAGCTGCCCGTCGTAGCCCCGTTGCACCCCCTCGTGGCCCCCTCGCTGCCCTTCGTGGCCCCGTTGCTGCCCTTCGTGCCCCCCTCGCCGCCCTTCGTGGTCCTGCTGTCGCCCTTTGTGGCACCCTCGCCGCCCTTCGTGGCCCCGGTGCAGCCCCTCGTGGCCCCCTCGCTGCCATTCGTGGCCCCGTTGCAGCCCGTCGTGGCCCCCTCGCTGCCCTTCGTGGCCCCATACATCTATGCCCTTCGTGGCCCCCGCTCGTTCGCGCCCGTCGTGGCCCCATATGCGTGCCCTTCGTGGTCTCGCTGTCGCCCTTTGTGGCCCCCTCGCTGCCCTTCGTGGCCCCGTTGCTGCCTTCAGTGGCCCCGTCCTTGCCTTCCGCAGACCAATCTACGTATGCCTTTCGTGGCCCCCGCTCGTTCGCGCCCGTCGTGGCCCCATGTGCATGCCTTTCGTGGCCCCGCTGTCGCCCTTCGTGGTCTCCTCGCTGTCCTACGTGGCCCAGTTGCTACCCTCAGTGGCCCCGTCGTTGCCTTCAGCGGCCCCGCATTATCTGCCCTTCGTGGCTCCCGCTTGTTCTTTTCTTTTGCGGCCCCATACGTATTCCTTTCGTGTCCCCGCTGTCGCCCTACGTGGCCTACTTCGTGCCCTTCGTGGCCCTGCTGTCGTGCTCTCTCTCGCTTTCGGTTTCGCTCGTCGTCGTCGCCGTCGTCGCCGTCGTCGCCGTCGTCGTCGTCGTCGTCGTCGTCGTTGTCGTCGTCGTCGTCGTCGTGGTCGGTCCCCTGTCCGTCCCTCTTGGGGTCAGGTTGCCGCCGATCAGCGCTGCCGCTGGCCAGGCCGACGGTCCGCGGCCGCCCCGCCGTTGCCAGGGCCCGGCCTGCAAGGAAGAAAGGTATACCCCCAAAAGGGCACGATCGAAGACGAAGAGGGCGGGTATCGAAGGTTTGGGACATACGCGTTAACGGACACTCGGGCTGATAAGAGCGAACAGTCTCAAAGTGATTGTTGTTGTTGCTGCTGTTGGTGTTGTTGTCGGTGACGACGTTGATGACTATGGTGCGATCGGTGAAAACATGACGTCACGATGGCGATGGTGATGGTTGGTACTGTTGGCGAGGATGCTGATGATGCTGATCATGCTGGGGCGGATGGTGGTAATGATGGTGATGGTGCGAGTGGTGGGGATGATGGCGGTGATGGTGGTGGTGATGCGGCTGTTAGAATGATGATGGTGATGATGTTGGGGATGATGGTGATGACGATGATGCTGATGATGTTGATGGTGGTGGTGATGAAGCTGCTGATGACGATGGCGGTGGTCATGGTGATGCTGGTGCCCTGATGGTGTTGGCGATGCTGATACTGGTGATGCTGATGATGCTCATGATGATGCGCCTGATTCTGATAATGGCCATGATGCTGACGACGATGATGCTGCGGATGATATGCAGAAGCTGCATTCCACTCAACCAGAATTTCGGCAACGCGAGTGATCAGACGATGAGGCTCTGAGGGAGCGTCGGATTCTTCGAACTTTTGTGCAAACGGCACTTGTAGATCGGAACTAAACGCGTGGATCGTGGACATCAGCGCGCGCGGTCCCTGGTGGGCCGCGTGGCCGCGGTGCGGCCTCTCGAACTCACTTCACCTGCGCCTCCAACTCTCCCCGCCGCCCCCCCCCTCTCTCGGCCCCTTGCCTTTCCTTCCGAACTCCTCCACCGCCTCCGCCTCCCCTTCCGCACTCCCCCTCCCCCTCCTCCGCCCCCGCCCCCGCCTACCACATCCCTTTTTGTAGACCACGGTCTCCACGCGGGCGGGCCAACCATAGGAGCGCGCACGGTTCCAGCGTTCGCTTCGCTTCGCTACCACCTCTTCTGCCTTCGTGGCCTGGGTGGCCAAGCCTCTTGTTCGTCCGTTCTCTGGCCAGATACCCTGCTCAGGGCGTGCTCCAGGACAGCGAGCTCGCGGCCTTACTCGCCGACATCGACGAGGAGGACCCCTTGCCGGGGGCTAAATGGAGGACGATGCCCATGGTGATGATGCTGTTGATGATGCTGATGGCGATGTTGATGCTGCTGCTGCTGCTGATGATGATGATGATGCTGATGCTGATCATGACGATGCTGATGCTTATGATGATGATGATGATGATGATGATGATGATGATGATGATGATGATGCTGATGATGATGATGATGATGATGCTGGTGATGATGATGCTGATGCCGACGATGATGATGATTCTGATGCTGATGGATGCTGCTGCTGCTGATGATGGTGATGATGCTGATGATGATGATGATGAGGATGAGGATGAGGATGATGACGATGATGATGATGATGATGACGATGATGATGATGATGATGATGATGATGATGATGATGATGATGGATGATGATGATGATGATGATGATGATGATGATGATGATGATGATGATGATGATGATGATGATGATGATGATGATGATGATGATGATGATGATGATGATGATGATGATGCTGATGATGATGATGATGATGATGATGATGATGATGATGATGGTGATGATGATGATGATGATGATAGGAGCTGCTGCGCCTCGAGCGACTGCGGGCTCCTACAGCGATCCCCACGCACACAACATCATGTGCACGAGATGCGCGCGATTGGGTGTCCGGCGACAAGGGCCAGCTCGCACTTCGTAGGTGGCGTTTGTTTTAGGTTGCTCATGGTGCTGCGCGTGATTGCACACACCGTGGGGCATGCAGACCATGTGAGATTGGAGGAGATAAGCGCAGCAGTGAAGACGACGGACGTGCTGCTTCTCTCCGGGAATGGCCGCCATGTCGACACCGAGTTTGACAGCTCGCAGCATCGCTTGCCGCATCACCCACCTATGCAGTTCATTCGGGTGGAGGAAGTCGAAGTGGGTCAATGAGCCGTGCGGGGTTGCCATTCTGCTCGGGGGTCGGGTCGACAGGTCCATCCAGCAGGTTGCAGCTCCCTGAAAAGCCACATGAATCCAAGGACGAGTAGGGAAAGTGTTACTTCGAGCCCATGCCTTGTCCGTCTGCTGCTTCACCGTCTACCTCCCCCGTCGAGGAAAACAACCCGCAGTCATGGCAACATGTATATCCAAAGTATTGGGGTGGATGGAAGGGGAACTAGATAAGTGCGGACACCACACCATGGTGATAATCGGAGGGGGCATGAATTGTAAGTTTGGGCTTCGGAGGGACATCACGGGAAGACGATACGTGCTCGGGGACGAGGTGTGGGGGGGGGGTAGTTGAGTCTGGTGAAGAGATAGCTTCTTCCTCAGAAATCCGGCGTTTCGCCGAAGATCACCATCTCAGTATTGGCAGTTCTCACTGGCGCACGGTGCCTACCTTCTACAGGAAAGGGCACACGAGCAAAATCGACCTCATAAGAATACCGTCAGTGGCCAAGCAGAGAGTACTAAAGATGCATACGTTGGTGGGATTCGGGAGGCGTCTTCAGAGAACCCAATCGGTTGAGTTGGACGACCATGTAGTACCGTTTATGATGGAAATGCAGCTCGACAAGCTGCACCCTGTCAAGCCCCTGAACACTCCTGCCGAGGACCGTGATCGACTGATGCAGTCATGCCAGCTTGGCCACGAGCGAGAGCAGTTCCTTGTAGCATTGGAGGCGGCTGTTGCCGCCGTGCCTCATGAAGCCTGGTGTGCCATGATTGATGATATCGACGTCCAAGGGTGCTGGGACCACCTTTCGAGCAGCATCCTGGAGGCTACAGTGTCTGCGTGCCACGAGCTGCGGGAAGCTAGCCTGAACCATATGCGACGTTGCGCCGAACTTCGTTCAGAGCTCCCGCGCGCCGACTTTGAAAGCATTTGTTTCGAGCTCACCTTGACCACCCGCAGACTGCAACGCCTCTGGCGTCGGCAGCGTCGTGAGAGGGATGAACAGCTTATTGGGGAAGTGCAGGAAGCCTGGCGACGCCAGAACTTTGCTGAGCTTCGCCGTCTTCATGTGCAGCTGGCGGGGGCTGGGCGTGGACCAAAGCAGAGGTACGTGTTTGGTGACCGCCCAGGGCTCACTTGTGCTGAATGGGAGGCGGGTCTTGGAGCAGCCGCTGGGGAGGGGGGGGTGTTGTGCACGAGAATCGATTGGATCCAATGGAGCGGCCGTCGTATCGATCGCACGTGGGGAATGCCCGTAGAGGATGCGAAGCGGCAGGCATTGAAGGACGGAGCTGGTCAGCTACGCTACCTCCAGAGGTGCCCAAAGCGCCGTGCAGGTCCACCGTGGGGAGTGCTAGCTGAGGCCCTCGCCTTGGCGATCGATGCCGGCAAGTGGCAGAACGTGCACGGACGAGGCATATGATTCGATGCGAGTAGCTTCGCGCCCGAGGTGATCACCGGGAGGTGCAACGACAACGCCAATGAGGATCACGGCGACCGCACCACCATCAAACCCTTGCTCTCAAGCTTTCGTGGCGCCGAAAGGGAACGGCGAGCTAGGCGTGAAGGGCCTCCCCGTCTTGCGCTGCGTCGACTGCTTCGGGATGGCGTTCTTCGACGCACTCCGCCGCGCTGCCCAGCGGCCCGCTCCGGAGCCGTGGGCCCGCGGAGCCTGTCGACGACGTCGGCGCGAAGGGTGCTTGCTCGCGCTTTCAAGTATCCAATGGCGATGCTCGGACATTGGGATCTCGCGCGCGCTGACGAAGTTCGACGGAGCCAACGCCCTCGCGCGCGCCAGGCGCACGGCGCTGCGCGAGCTGCGCGCGGACACGGGGAGGCGGCAAGGCGTGAGGTTGTTGAAGCAAGCCGTGGACGGCATTACTATCCACGTCAATGGCCTCGACGACCGGGCGGTGTTCAAGCCCAGGACGGGCGCCGCAATGGGGCGCAGCATAGCGGCAGGGGGTTTCGTCGACGTCTGCACTCCGAACGTTGCCAAGTGGAACAACACCCTAAAGCAGGCAGACATGAGCTACAGGGGTCCAGGTCGAACTATAGGCATCGGCACCTTCGTCGACGACATGAGTCGCCTCCACATCCACGCCAACAGCGTGAATGCCGCGAGGGCTGCAGGACAGCTTATCTTTGCGACGGGGCTTTTGGACCAAGAGCTCCAGCTAACGGACCATATGCTCAACGAGGGGGAAACAAACCATATCATTGCGTTGCGTGGATATGGGTCTCGCCTGCCGCCTGAGCTCTGACAACAGTGAAGGGGTGTGTGTGTCGCGAAGCTCGGTTGCTAGGCCCGGTACTGTCATGCGATGGCGCCCTGCGAACGGAGGTGAAGAACCGGGTGCGTGCGGCCAAGTATGGATGGCGCAGTCTAGGCTCTACGCATGTGGTTCCAAGGCTTCCCTGCGAGGCTGCTCCGAACCTTGTTCGTGGCACTTGTGCAGAACACTGCTCTGTCAAGGCTGGCCTCGTCTGTGCTTCCGAAGAATGTCGCAGACCAGATCGACGCGGCGCTGGCCAGGCTACTACGGTCGTTGATGAAAGGGAAAGCGAGGGGGAAAGAGAATGGGAGCATTCGAACTTTGACGAATGAAGAGGTACTGCGGCACTGGAGACTGGCCCCGGCCGCATAGAGCTGAGGATTCAACGCGTCAAATGGGTGCGAAGCATGTCCCGTCATCTTACTTACCGCGCTCACGTATTAGCTGGCGTTTACGGCACTACCAGAATGGGCGAACAAGTTGGCCGGCCAAGGATGGTGGATGGGGCGGATAGGGACGCGCAGTACACTTTGGGCCCGTACGTTTCAGGAGGATTTGGATGAGTTTGCGGGGGCTTCCGGCGACTTCGCGGGAGTGTGGGAGGATGTCACTAGCGTGTGCGAGTTTTTTTAACGACGAGAGCCTCGGGTCGCGGTTCCGGTTGTGCGATCCTGCTGTGCTCCCGGCGCGGCGCGTCGGAGTCGCTATCCCTCCTCCCCCCGCTATGTCTACTTCTTCCACCGTGCTGTCGGGAGACGGCATTGCGACGGACACTGGCCTTGAGATCCCCGTGCCCTTGTTCGCTTGCCCCCGCGAGACCGACAGTGGTGACGCCTGCGGCCAGACTTTCACCGCGTTTCGAGGTTTGAGTTCCCATCTCACGCGGGCTCATGGTCTTCGGCAATCGGTCCCCGCACTGATTCAGTCAAACGTATGCCCGTGGTGCAAGCATGCTCTTCGACTTGGGCAGGGTGCCACCAACGCTTTCAGGCGATGCTCACAGCATGCTCCAGGAACTGCCCCACGATAGCAACTTCGTTTACGTTTTCGCCAGTTGAGCCATCTTCGCTCGAGTGCCAGGTCTGCGGCGAGGTCGCCGCTGATTTTGGCAGGTACCTCTTGCGCGTGCGTTCGCATCTAGGCGGGCCGCGCGATGCGGCGACTCGGTGGCGCCCGCCCCCGGGGCGAGACCATGGCGACGGCGGCGGAGGCCGCGGCCCCCGCGGCCAAGACTGCCAAGACTGGCGACCGGCCGAAGGGTGGGGGCAAGAAGCATGGCTCCGACGACTTGGCAGACCAGCTGCAAGCAGTGCAGAAATTGACGCTGAACAACGCGCAGAACACCCGTATGTTTATTGCGTCGGTGTGGGACTTCGCGATCGGGGCAGGAGCCAACGACGCGGTGGAGGCGGGCCAGCACGCCGGCGAGGAGTACAACAGGATGGCGAAAAAGGGGGCGGTAAGATGGAGGGCCCACCTCACGCGTGCGTCGTTACTTCCTTTGCCGACGGCCTCCAGCAGTGCGAGGCCATTCCCGCGGAGCACACGAAGCTGATCAAGCACATGAACGCGATCTTAGACGTGATGATTATCGACGAGATCAACGAGGTCGTTTTCGCACTTCAGGCTCAAGAAGGGCCACGCCGAGACGGGGGGGCCGCAAGTGTGGAAGCTGAACTTCGTCTTCAAACCGCTGGCGGCCACCGACCCCGGTGTTCGTGCAGAAGGCGGGCGAGCAGATGGCCGAGGGCGGAGTGGAGGCGGTCTTTCATGACTACGACCTGGCGCAGGCGCGGGCAT